GTATTATATGTAGTTTTTAAATTGTACAATCATATTTTTGTGGCTTTTCATTTTTCATCTTTAAAAAAACTGAAATAATATCCTTTTTTTCGGTGTGCATAGATTCTCTTCAGTGCAAATGTTTCTGAATCTCTACTATGATGCTTGTTTGGTTATAAAGCTGAAATCATTCCAGGATTTGTTTAATTAATTAATTGAAGGTGAGACCAAATGCAGACTGTCTGAGGAGACAGTTTACTCTCCCAGGTTGTCCAATAAAGAGCAAAGAACAGAAGAAGCAAAAGAGAAGGGAGATGAGGAGAATGTAGGTGAGATCCCGGTTGTTGGCTTTCACAATAGGACTGTCTTTGTGCTTAATAAATATTCCCAACACCCATATTGTAGTGAGGACAAATAAAGTAGCAATGGTGGCTAAACTGAGTCCTAAATGTTCTTCATAAGATAAGAAGCTAATTGTTTTCATGATGCATCCATCTTTCTTATGGTTTGCATATTGATCATCAGGACATTGAAAACAGACAACAGTGTCTAAAAGGGAAAAATAGCAAGGCAGATTCATAAGAATGATAATTATTAATTTTCACATTTATTCACACCCTGATGTTTATGTCCTTGGTACAAATGATAGAATCTACAATATGAAAATGCATTTGAACATCTCTCTATGTATATTTTGTTTGTTGTGGCATTAAGTCAAATATTGCTTTGATTATATACAAGGAAATTTCACAAACTCCATGAAAATCCATTTTATCTTTATTTGCTTTGTTATAATAAAGTATTCATCAATAACTGAAGTGATCATTTTCATATTTGAAACCATATTGACTTATTGAATATTGAACAATATTCAAATTATGGTACATAAGTATAATAGTTTCACCAAATTCAAACTGAAAGATGAAAGATAATGTTTCAAGGAAGAAATTGTAGAAAGGTTAGTAATTACATATTTGAAGGAAAAATTATAAAGTAAAATGGATTTTCTGTTTCTATAAGATAAGTATATATCCCTTTATATTTAATATCACTATTTTTGTTTTCTTTCTATGCTTCTGTTAAAATTTCATTTCTTGTGTTTACCCACTGAAGAGAATGTTGGAATCAGTCTGCATATAAAATACTTAGATATTACATATCCAAGAGAGCTACACACTGTAGAGAAAATATGCATAAGTATTTCTCAAAGAAGCAAAAATGTGCTCAAATGGACTGATGGATGGATGGATGGATGGATGGATGGATGGATGGATGGATGGATGGATGGATGGATGGATGGATAAACAAACAAACAAACAAACAAACAAACAAACAAACAAACAAACAAACAAACAAATAAATAAATAAATAAATAAAGTAAATGACTGGTTGGAAAGGAAAAAGTTATTACGATTTAAAGTAGGGAGTGTTTTAATCATATTCCTCATTACATCTAAAGATTCTGATTATTGTTAAGAAATATATTTCATTAGTTTGTCCACTTTTCCTAAGAAGTAAATACTCATTTCCTTAAATTTCAGAAATTCATATTTTCATTATTATATTTCAAGAGTGTCCCTATTTAGTTAGTGCACATTTGAGATTTTTGGTTTCCATAGTAAAATCAAAAGATATCAATTCTGAATTCCTTTCTTCCTTCCTCTCCACCTTCACAGTCATTGTTTTATATGTAGTTTTTAAATTTCATAATTATGTTTCTGTGGTTTCTTATTTCTCATCTTTAAAAAAACCCTGAAATAATTATTTTTTTCGGTGTGCATAGATTTTCTTCAGTGAAAATGTTCTGAATCTCTATTATGATGCTTGCTTGGTTATAAATCATTCCAGGATTTGTTTAATTAATTAATTGAAACATTGTTGTGATTGTGATCAACCCTTGTAATTCCATTGTAAGAACTTATAATATTTCATGTATTAATAGATTTGATTTCATTACCCATTAAGTTTCTTTTAAAAAATCCTTATTCATGAAAAACCAAACAATTTAATTAGAGGAAAGTGTTCAGCACATAGGGTTACCAGGTGTCCACTATTTGAGTGGACAGTCCACTTTTTTCACATTATGTTCACTATTTTTTTCACAAAATAGTGGACATTTTTTTTTATTCAAAAGCTTTATGATGAAATGGTACGTAATCTAAAGCTGTACAGTCTACTTTTTTTACTACTTAACCACCACCACCCCCGCTTGTCCGCTATTTTTTGGAAGCAGACCTGGCAACACTATCAGCACACTAGACAGTATAACAACAAAATTGAATGATTTGTTAACTTACCAATCTCGTTAGAGATTTTCCTCTCTGGACATTCAGCACAATCATAACAGCAGAATTTCTTTCCTTCATTCTTCCTCTTTTGATAACCAGGGAGACAATGTTTATTGCATAGAGAAATGGGAAGCACCTATTTATCAATATTAAAATGTTGGAAGATGAGCATTTATTGTTTTGAAGAAAATTTGATTGTTACACTGACAATGAAATGTGCAGTTACATTAAAAGAAAAGTACCATCTAAAGGTTGTAAGACAAGAAATTGATTAGATTTGAAGATTTATTTCAAACACAATTAAGTACATTTCAGTGTGGCCTCTGATTTGATTTTGTGAGCACAACTGATCTGGATTTCCAATTTTTGTTATGTTGAAATTCTCATATCAATTTAATTAAAATTTTATTAATTCAAATCATCAGATTGACCAGAAACATTGAATCAATTAGTCACTGATTTGAACACAGATTTGATAAAGCTTCATTCAATTAGAGAAATATAAGCATGGCTTTTTTTTCCTCATTTACATTTCAATATATGAAAAATAAATATAGTGCAGAATACCAGATATATTTAGCCTTTAATAATTAAGGAGGAAAAAAAGTTATTTCTTAATCTAATTATCTTCATGGGTTGCCAAGAAGGATAAAAGTAAATATGTCAATCTAATGAATCCATATTTGAATGATCAGACAAAATATTGTTGAAACCATACCTGGTTAAATGATCTATGCCAAACAATCATATCCTCATTAATGACTAATTCCTTTCCTTTGAAAGCATCAGGATCCACTTTTCCAATCTTGCGTCTCTGGAAAGTGGAATTGGGAAAGACAACAATATTTATGATATCAAATCCACCTTCCATCTTCTTTTGATCATAAAAAGTCAAAGTTTCTCCAAGAGAATTGTTGAATTTCATGCCTTTCAGAAATTGGTGGAGCTATATGATTGGGAATAATAAAACAGGAACATTAAAATTTTTATCAAAGTAGTACTATACTTTTGAGTGAGAAACTCTGAAAACATGCAAAGTTCATTTCTCCAGCCTCTTGAGAACTAGATTCCTATCCTCTGCACATGGGGATAACAAGAAGGATCTGATATTTCAGTTTGAACAATAATCAAATGAAATGTAAAGTATACTTCTAGCCTTCCATATCTTTCGGAACCCAGTCCTTCATGTGGACTAGGAAGAGACATATGAAAAACTAGATAAACAATTTCCAGATTTGTTTTTGACATGCCACCCATTTTTCATTGCATAACATTTTCACAGTTATACAGCTCTTAAGGAAATGGTAAGGCTGAAAGATAGTTGGCTTAGCTAAGCAGCATTCCTCAAGCAATTTCAGAAAAAGGTAAAATTACTGTCATTTCACTATAGTCCATCACATCAGCTCCCCTCTTCATGCACCATTTCCCACAATTACAGGGATGAAAATAAAGGTATGGCAATAAATATCATCAATAGACAAATGTTCAAATCCATTTTAGTAGCTGCCACTTCTCTGCTGGAATCATACACCCTATTATCTAGTACAAAATACCTGTAGCACAAAAATCACCTGCCATGGTTGTGAATCTTCATATTCTGATAATTTGTGCCTCAAAAAATGTCTGTGATTAGATCGAAGTAAGAAGAGAGCATGTAAAGCTTGAGCCAATACAGATACAGCGTTATAGATACTATAGCTGTGCCCAGACATCTCTACCTCAAAAAGAGCCCCAGGAATGTTCTCTAGCCTCTCCTCTCCAGTACAAAAAGGATTGTCCAGTTCGGTCAAAGAAGGGGATGGTAATGAACAGTCAAATATTTGTTCCCAGAAAAGTGGAAAAAATCCATCTCCTTGAATCCAAGGAGGTTTTATGAACTTCAAGAATTCTTTGAACCCTGGAATTTCTTTTGAGTGAACTGTAAAGCAAATGGCACCATCAAAGAACCGCCGATCCCATTTTTTATTCATTCCTGTTAATAAATAATCCATCTGGGCAGTCATGATCCATACCTTTCCCAAGGATCTATGCTCATGTCCAGGGCTAAGCCAAAAAATTATATCCGTTAACCATGCAATTGTCAAAGATTCTCCACACATGATAAAGATGTTGGTCTTCTCATCAATTATGTGTTTATAAATATTTTTCCATTTTTCTAACATTTCAAAAAACTTGTCCCAGTAGGTTAAAAATGGGATTCTTTTTGTAGAAGCAGAGCAGATTCCATGCCTGGAAAAGAGGGACTCCATGCTTTGCAGAAAATGGTCTCCTTGACTGTTATCAATAGCAAGGAGCCCAATCCATCTCCACCCAAAATGTTGAAGCAGTCGGATAATCCCAATGTACTGTGAGGACTCATTTGGAACCATGGAGTAATAGAATGGAATCTCAGTGCTATGAACATCTTGTGGGGTAAATGACCCATATGTGAGCTAAAAGAAACATATATTATGGAAATAGATCATCATCAGTATCTTTTTCTTCATATTTTCCACAAATTTTGTCAGTTTGTTGAGTCAGGTGGCCAGAGAATAAGGATATTTTAATAAGCCCAGTTTGGAAAAAAGAAAAGAGGGGGGGAATTTTCAGGCCTCTCTTCCCAAAGACCCTACCTGTGGAATCTTGTAAAACTTTACAAGGTCTGTGATATAGGAGGAAGTTCCAAAGCTGAGCCCTCCTATGATGGAAATGAGATTTCTCCTGGTGTCACATTTATAGTTGGGGACAAATCTCTCTGATCTGAAGAGTAGGTCCAAGGTGGTCCGATAGGTCATTAATGCATTGTAGTAGCTATCATGAATATAGAAGCCAAGAGTGACATTGTACAAGATTTTTGGATTCTCATTGATCTCCTTCACAGCAAAGACCAAGGAAAGGATATGTTGGTAAAACTTTGTTACCACACTGAAAACAGGATGAATTTACACATATCATTAAATATTTCCTTATTATTTTCCTGGCACCCCAGAGAGGTGCTTTACATTATACACATGAATAATTGGGGAATGTCCAATTGAACACTATTTCCAATTCAACTACACTAAACTATTTTTATTTTTGCATATTGAATCAAAGAAAATAATCTACCTTTCCCTTCATTCATTGCAATTCCTCTAACTAGAGATAAAACAAAGGTGAATGATAAGAATTGCTTTCCTAATCTAAGATTTTTTCAATATAAAATTTTGTTGCATTAAAAACAAACAATGCCTTTATAAAATTCTTATAAAGTATATTTTATTAGAATGTATTCTCATTAACAAATGGAGCAATCTAGAGATCCAGAAAGATAAAAGATAAGAATTCCTTACTCTGGATGGCCAAAATACTCAAGAGAGGGATGCTGCTGAAATGAAACTTCATTAAAGTGATAGCTAGCCATAGATACTATCCCACCAATGACAAGGTCCCCTGGCTGGTACCATTGATTTTTAACAGGTATAGGTTCACCTAGATGACACGGCAAAGTCTTCACTCTGAAAAGTGGAAATAGGAGAAAAAAGAACATTCTGGGCAACATCTGCTCTCTAAGTATAGATGTTCCACAAGGAGCAGCTTTCCATGTTAAACTGCATTCACCAGCCTCAAAATTCCTGTTAAGGGCAAAGCTGAAGACTAACTTTTCACCCTGATTCTTCTTGCAATTAGTGATAGTATTGGAAAAGGTCTGAATGACAATGTAGAGTTCCAGCAACACAAATTAATTTATGACAATTGAAACCATAGGGCTTGTGTGTTCTTGTCTTCTACTCTCCAGTCTCTATGGGGCAGTCATTTTTATTTTTTATTTTTTTCTATAATGTCTTCTCTAATTGTTTACAGTTTTGATGAAGGGAGAAAATTATTATCTTGCAAAGGGGTGATAATTATATCTTCAACTTTCTGTCTCCCATTGTTAACAATCTCTCTCTCTCTCTCTCTCTCTCTCTCTCTCTCTCTCTCTCTCTCTCTCTCTCTCTCTCTCTCTCTCTCTCTCTCTCTCTCTCTCTCTCTCTCTCTCTCTGTGTGTGTGTAGCTGAATTTAGTATTTCCTAATTTATTTTCTCTTTCTGATGTAATAATTTAACATCACTTCCCAGGATATTTTCAGAATAGAACATTGCTCCATTTGTAATCTGTTGGCCTGGTTACATTCTCATATGAATAACACAACATATTGATTAGGTTAATCTGAAGAACCTGATAGAAATCTATCTAGAAGGGATCTGTAATCAGGGCAAAGAAATTGTTCTGAGTAGAGTTGATACTTGGTACTTGTTTTTAGGAATCCCATAATAATAATAATAATAATAATAATAATAATAATAATAATAATAATAATAATAATAATAATAATAATAATAATAATAATAATAATAATAATAATAATAATAATAATAATAATAATAAAGTTGGAAGGGACCTTGGAGGTCATCTGCTCAGGTAGGAACCCTACACCATTTCAGACAAATGGCTGTCCAGTCTCTTAAAAACTTCCAGTGTTGGAGCATTCACTGCTTCTTGAGGCAGGTTGTTCCATTGGTTAATTGTTCTAACTTTCAGGAAGTTTCTCCTTAGTTCTAAGTTGCTTCTCTCCTTGATCAGTTTCCACCCGTTGCTTCTCGTCCTGCCTTCAGGCGCCTTGGAGAATAGCTTGACCCCCTCTTCTTTGTGGCAGCCCCTGAGATATTGGAACACTGCTATCGTGTCCCCCCTTGTCCTTCTCTTCGTTAAACTAGACATACCCAATTCCAGCAACCGTTCCTTATATGTTTTAGCCTCCAGTCCCCAAATCATCTTTGTTGCTCTTCTCTGTACTCTTTCTAGAGTCTCAGCATCTTTTTTACATCGTGGTGACCAAAACTGGATGCAGTATTCCAAGTGTGGCCTTACTAAGGCATTGTAAAGTGGTATTAATACTTCACGTGATCTTGATTCTATCCCTCTGTTAATTCAGCCCAGCACTGTGTTGGCTTTTTTGGCAGCTGCAGCACACTGCTGGCTCATATTTAAGTGATTGTCCACTAGGACTCCGAGATTCCTCTCACAGTTACTACAATTGAGCAAGGTACCACCTATACTATACCTGTACATTTGGGTTTTTTTGCCTAAATGTAGAACCTTACTTTTTTCACCATTGAATTTCATTTTGTTAGATAGCGCCCCCTGTTCAAGTCTGTCCAGGTCTTCCTGTATCTTAAGCCTGTCTTCTGGAGTGTTGGCTATTCCTGCCAGCTTGGTGTCATCCGCAAATTTGATGAGTTCCCCATCTATCCCCTCGTTCAAATCATTGATGAAGATGTTGAAGAGCACTGGGCCTAGAACAGAGCCCTGGGGCACCCCACTACAAACTTCCCTCCATGTAGATGCGGTTCCATTGAGGACCACATGCTGAGTACGACCGGTCAGCCAGCTATGAATCCATTTGGTGGTGATGCTGTCTGTTAAGTCCGGAGAATAATGGCGCTTGAGATGAAGCATTTCTAACAAGTCTTTATTCTCTGCTTCCATAACACGAACAACCCGAGCAGAGGCATGCAGGCCTCTATTTATACCTTCTGATACCCGGGCAAGTTCAACCAATCATAAGGCGGTCTTTTCCCACCTTGTGCATGTGCACAAGGCCGGC